GCCCACAGAGGGAGAGGGAGGGAGGAGACCAGAGCTGACTGAGAAGGAGAGAGAAGGGAGAGAGCCACATCCGCTGGTGCATTCCTGCATGCTGTGTCATACTGGTGCTGAGTTTCCCCTCGGTTTGCACGGAGATTTCCACAAGGTGGAGAGTGCAAAGAGCTACTGACGCAGCGCTCGGGGTTGTGGATGCTGACATTTAAAGTTTAACAAAGCAAAAAAGCACATGCATACACTCCCCACAGTAACAAAAAGACAACATAAAAAAAAATGGAGGCATGTGAGGGTGGGATACATGGAAAGAAGGGGGGATATATAGCCTGGCAACCTAACTCATGAGTTGAACTCTGCTCTCCTGGTTGCTTTCTGCTCTCATCACGTGGCCTCTGTGGTATAGCTGAACTGGGCATCATTACAGCACAGCCAGAGCCGAATGTCTGTGGCTGGCTCACCGCCCCGTCTGCCTGCCTGTCATTCAGCTGGTTAAAGAAGCCTTGTTGAACAACTGCACCGTGCCTGACTACTACAGGGCCATTCATTGCGTACAACAGCCAAGTCCTGTCACCAGTGTTAGCTAGCAACATACCAATTTACTACTAGAACCGACTCGGGCATTTTGCTCGGTAAGCACAGTTTCCCCCGAGCAACCTCCTAACCCATTTTTTTGAAGTTTGGATTTCAGAGAGCACGCCCCTCTAACAGAACAAGCCTCTTCAGACAAACGCGGTGTTCGCGTCTCAGAGATGTTTTCCGCCTCTGTTGAATGTACGCCATTGAGCGCATAGTGGGATACACTGATCCATTCCCCAAGGAATCACACAACAACAGCAAAACACAAAAAAAACCAAGCCAAAAAAACAACAAAACAGATCCTTTGTGCCGCCTGTAACGCTGGATCTCTCAAACAGAAGAGCTGAAAATACACTTCATCACTCTGAGAGGGTTTTTGCTTCCCCCCACCCCACATGCGTCGGGCTAATCCTGTCACGGCTGACCTGTGTCTTGGTGAACTGTTCTCCGTCCTTTTCTCAGTCCCAGAGTGGCACACACAGAGAGGACATGCATGAGAGTCATAACTTCAACAGGCACTCTTTCTCCCTTTCGTTACATGCTCCATTCCTGCTCGCATTCTTGACTTCTCCAGCTCTTGTCCCTCTCTTGTCCTTTTTGCCCCCTCCCCACCCTTAACCCTCACTCTGTCTGCATCCCTAACATCCTCCCGCTATGATTAGCAATAGTGTTTTTTTCCCCAGCCAGTGTAATGTCTAGATCCTCCTGTGTCCTTGGAAAGCAGCCTAATAAGCTCAGACACACACTGATGTCTCTGTGCACCACAGGCCTATTCTCCAGCGTCAGCCAGCACACACTGAGGTAAACAAAGACTGCCACACACACGCACACAGACACACACACACACTATCCTAGTGTGCTAATAGACCAGCATATCAACCCACTGAGGACAGCGTTGACGCTAGCTTGCTAACGTTGACCTTCCGTGTGCCAATCACAACAAATCTGCTCTCCCGATTTGAATATGGGGAGGAAAACAGTGTAAATTGAAAGCAGAAATCCCCCTGGTGTGAGACAAGATGAGACTCTGAATAAATTATTCAGATGGCAGCCTCTTTCCTGTATGATTCTCGCCTTCTGCTACGTTTAATGGCATCTGTGAAGACGCCCATTCGAGATTAATCCAGATGTAAGACGTTTGTGCGCGTATGTTTGTGCGATCTTACATTTGTAAGAACGCAAGCGCACGCGCGCGTGTGTGCGTTGCCCGCTCACCCCTCTTCTCATGCGTCCCGTTGTGTCGTGTGATGGGGAAACAAAGCCTCAACAGGGGAATTTATTTCTTCTCCAGAGAGGGCTGTAAATAAACAACTAGTGAATCAATGCCTCCATTTGTTTTTTCTCTGATAATTCTGCCTGTGGCGTCAGGCGGTGTGACAGTGTTTTGCAAGCCAGCGTAGCTCTCAGCAGCCATATTTCCTCTTGGTGAGAGTGAGAAAACATGCCACACTGGCCTCATGTTTCATTACCTAGGATCAGTAAATTACCGCGCGCTTTTTTCTTTCTTTTTTTAATATCATTCACTGAAGCTCGTTTAGCACCATGATGGCGCCTTTGTGTGAATGAGAAAAAACACCAGCATTAGAGCTGCTCAGTCAATTAAAGACAGACAGGCATAGAAATTACTGTGTTCAGCTGAATGAAAAAAATAACCCACAGTAGGCCCTGTGGTGAATGCATTTCAATCAACGGTGACCTTCCCCAACAGAAGTACTTACAAATGTTTGGATATTAAATATTACAACGCGCTTTGTAATGCACTCTTTGAATTCATGTTCATGTTATAATCAAAGTGTAAAGAACTTTGCAGGTTATTAAAAAGGAGTTTTGAATAGGTTAGTTCACTTAAATGACAGTAAAACATATTTACTCACTTACTCACTTAATGGGAGCTTTGATGACTCTCAGCATACACAGTCCAGTTCGATTCTCATCTTGATTTTTTTTCCTTTTCTATGGGGTTTAAGTAAAAAAAAAACAAACAGGGAAGGTAAAACAACAAAAAACCTGTTTTTTAGATATATTTCCCATTTCATTCTTGACCTTAATCTGATCTTTAAACATTGCAGCTTTCACCAGACTCCAGTGCTTTACTGGGCTTTTAACAGCTTTACGTGGCAGCTAGCATAAGCATCATAATAAAACAATAACATCTATTTTATTCTCAATGCTAGGCTAATGCAAGTACCCTTTCCATAGGAATGAAGCAGGTAAGTAGAACCCAGGTCCTGCTAATCAAATGCACTTCATTATTAGATCATCAGCAAGTGTGAGCACCTCTATTAAAGCACAAGATTTGGCAGTTTGCTGGTCTGGTGCATTCAGAAACCTGTGCCACACACGTCCCAGCAAATTCAACCCAAAGCATTTTTAATTTTGCCAGCAGATGTTTTTAGTTTTAGTTGTCATTTAGGCTTCTAAATGATTGGTTTTTTTTTAGTCTAGTTTTATCTGACTAGATATCATACGATTATAGTAGACTAAATCTAAAGATGATTCAGTTGACTAAACTATAAAGTGTAAAAATTAGTTGTGTTTTTAACGGTGAGAGTTGCTCTACACAGTTTACAAAGTGTCTTAATTTCCTTGACATCGAATGTAAAATGGGTCCATATGTCTACTTTTCTCTTCTCTTCCTCCCAACTGTTGACATTTTGTTACGCTTCTATGAGAAACATGGAGCATTCATTGATGAAAACAAGATGTCTTTACATTACATCATCCTTTTTGTCTGCATGCATTAGTCTTTTTTTAAATTTATCGTCTTGTGTTTGTCAGAAAAGACAGGTCGTTGATGAAAACAATGATGGAAATTATTGGTCAGTTAAATTAACACGGCCCCAAAGGTCAGCACGTCCAATGCTCAGAGAAACTGCAAGAAAGGAAAAACAAGAGCTATATCTTAGACTCTAGAGCCCCCATTTACCGTTTTAAAGTTGCATGCGGACAAACACTGAGACTTCTGGAACAAAATCCTCTGGATAGATAAGATCAAAGTGGAGAGAATGCAGAATTTGGCGGAAACCAAATAGGTCAGGCAGCTTTACAATGATCTCGAGCACAGCAGAAAACGTAAACAGAATGGCTGAAAAAGAAACGAATTAAGGTTCTGCAATGGTCGAGTCAAACCCCAGACCTAAGAGAGCTGTACATAAAGAGATGATGTCATAAAAGCAACACGTTATTGTTGCTAAATGTTGTTCTACAAGTTAGTGAATCATGTAGGTGCACTCAGTTTTTCACAAGACTGTACATGCAGATGTACATTTAAAGAAGGATTTGGTGCTAGCAGCTCTGTCTATCTTGGGATCCAAGTATCTTAATATCTGGCCAACTAAGCCCAGCTCCTTTACTTTTAAACTGTTTGTTTTCCTTAAATGCACTTCTGCAATCTTCAATAACAATAATTAGTGCAGGTCCTAGAAAATATGGGGGGAGTTGCTTATATTAGCTACGGTTGGATGGCTAATGGGAAAGTGAATAATGGTGTAAACAGAGTGTTCCTGGTTCTTCAGGAATAACGTTAACCTCCCAGTGTGCGAACCTTGATTAGAAGCAATCATTCAGCTAATGCTACTATTGGTAATGCCAACACAACTGTACACAAGAGCCTCTAATGAACACTGGTTTACTGTGGTTTCTTTGTACTGAAGTACCCTTCTCTATATCCCATATCCAAGTGTGAAATTACAATATCAGATCATATTTAGTTAATTAAACCCATATGACTAATTTAATTTGACTCAAATGTGGGGAAAGTGAATAAATCATGGAGGCGTATTTAGCTTGCTAGCACTGGTGTTAACAGTAATTAAATGTGGGGCAATCTGTAGCCTGTGAAGATAGCTCAAGTCTTTTCTTTCTGCCTACTGTACAAGTACACATGTGGAAGAAATGTAAGCCAGACGGGGCTTTTTCGGGGGGGAGACGTCTTGCAGAATATTAATGAAATGATATGTGAGTTTCAAGCATAGAAATAAGCGAGTCAAAGATGCAGTCTTGTAAAGTAGGCTAGTGCATTAATAGTCAGCGAGCGACTGTCCCATTAGGAGATCTGCACATCTTAGTTAGAGAAGAGCCAGAAGCAGAGAAGAAATATTCCTCCATGATTAGAGTCGGGAGAGTTCAAAGACAGCTGTTTTTTTCAGCTAAGATGGGCACAAAGCACTCACAAGGAAGACAAGAAATCAACTTGTATTTGTCATTTAAGTATTTTATGCTTCATATTTGGCAGGGATTAGAGATACATATTCTCTCCAGCTCTGTCAGTCCTTGTTATGCGCTTCCATTTTGTCAGATGCACAACGGGGTGCTTTATTGCATCTCGATAAATGTTGCCACCTAAGCCTTGTTTTCCTATCACTAAAAAGCACGTTGTGTTTTGTCACACTCCCTCATGTGCATGGCACTTTGTTTTTTGTTCATTTTAGACTCGCTCTGTGATTGATGAGGATTAAGAAACGGATTTTGCCTAACAGGAAACACAAGAACATCCTTAACCAAACTGGTAAGAATCTTGATTTATCAGCTGCGTGTTCATCTGACTGGTTAGGCTTCAGCTCGTGTGGTGATACTGCAAATAAGACAATATGGCTGCCATTTGGATATTGCCCCGCGTTGTATCATACCAGGTGTTTTGTCCTAGAAAAGGATGCTCTCGTGATCGTGTTATTTGGTAACTGAAGCAGAAAGAAGACTTTGTGTATTCAAGAACAATATAAAAACCTGAATATGTTGCGATTCGGGGCATCAAAAGAACACGCGAAGCTTTAACGTAAATCATCTGTGTGTTGTTTGATTGTCCTGCGATACCTAAATTGTTACATGCTGCATTCTGTTATCCCAACGCTTTCATATATTAGACCACATACGCGTCAGAACATCCTGAATTAATTGCCACCATGACTGGCCACCATTGTTTTGAATGAAAGCACATGTTTACGGGGATTAGTTGCGTGATAGTGGGTGATGGCATTTCCTCTTTGCATGGTAGACAGCTGGTGCTTGTCAGGTGAGGGGTGGAGGAGGAACGGGGGCAGTCAGTCAGTCAGTGAGACCAAACAAGTTGGGATGCCAAGTCTTTCTTGCTGGGTCTTTCCTCTGATGTGGTCATTTTAGATCAAGCCCATTTAAAGGATGTTTACAAGTGCACATTCCTGCATGCGTGCTATAGTGGAGCTCTACCTTTTTTTTGCTTGTTTTCAAGGCATCGTTATCCATGTTGAACCAGTGCTGGAGCTTCTGTGTGTGACCATTGATTTGCCTGTATCAATCTCCAAGAGGAGTAAACTGCTCATCCCCATTTCCTCATCCTCCAATCCGATCTTTACTGTAAGGACAAAGCTGCATTTGATGCGAAAACATGCTTGAATACTCTGTTCATTTTTCCTTTGAACAGCATGTACATTATGTATTCAGATAACCCTCGGACTGCATGAATATTAAGTGTTCATTTAAACCTTAGCCGAGATGAAACACCCCATCAGTCGTCATGTGACAGTGACCACGATGATGCATGAAGTAATTGGGTTGGATGAGGATATGAGGAAACAGTGCACTAAAGGATGTCATGTTAAGGCCTCCATCGGATTTTAGGTAAAAAGAGGCCCAGTCCTTCTGGTTTTGTTTGGGAGGGTTGTGCAAAATGTCGACAGCGTTAGTTGTATACATGTGAAACGGCATCAAAGCGCTTGAAGGTGAATAATTTTTGGTGGCATCTGCACATTCTGCAATATGCTAATAAGCAAAGCTGCAAAAGCCAGATTGCCAGGAGAGAGAAGGGGCGACGGGGAGAGGAGGGGAAAAAAGAAAGAAGGGGAGAGCAGAGTGGAAAAGAGAGAAACAGACGGAGGCTGGTGTAAATTATGGATGCAACGTGCGATTTCCAAGAGGAAAAGAAAGGCAGAGAGAAACCTCAAGTCATGCATATCAGATTACGCATTTACCACATTTTCTTATCATGGTCCGTGAGCAAACTTGTGTGCAATCTGGCCTCTTTGTGCGTACGTGCACGCGCGTTTGTTTGAGACAGGAAGTATAAGAGTGAGGGAGAGAGCACTTACATATTCATCCATGTCAAGTTGCGTGGAGTTGTCTTGTGCTGTGAGGCATTCTTAAAAACTTGCTATGACGTGCACGTCTAAAGCCGGGTTGACTTACATTGCTATTGTGTAGCTTTGCTTCATATGTCCATGGCGACACGGCTCCTTTTGGTACGCACGTGCCATCTCGTTAGTTTTGAGCGTGCATGTTTACACAGTGGCAAATCTGCCCCACTGGGCATTTACATGACATTGTTTAACTGCCGAAAAGCTGAGCTGGCTGCTTTAATGCCCTCTTTAGCAGTTCTAAGTAAAGTTAAGTAAAAGTATGTTTACCCTGCCCCCCCAAACTACCACCACATCGCACCCTTATGTGCCAGCGCCTGTGTGTATGTGAATAATGAATCCATTCTTAAGTCGTGTCCGTGACTGGGGTCTGCGCAGTGGTGTGGTTTCCCCCACAGAGGAGTTGGGAGGGGCTGGGTGGTAGGGGGTGTCTGGAAATAGCTCTGCCTGAGCTGGGAGCACCTTAGGTGGGCCTCTGTGCCAGCCTCACCTTCCTTTAACATGCATGCACGACAAAAGTACAATTCTACTCGCAAACCTGGACTATATTACTCCCCTGTTTTTCAGTTAGACTTTAAAGGGACGCATGTCTGCATTCACATTCACTGAGCAGGAAAGAAAAGAGCTGCGATTTCTAAGAACTGAGCAGGAGACACGTTGCAGTTAAAGCGCAAAGTGTCTTAGTTAGAAAACAGAAACTACAAAGCCCGCTCTGGATCTTGCCTGCATGTAAATGTGTGTTAATGTGCAAAGTAGGTCATTTATTTGGAGCAGGGACAGCCGTGGTGTGCCTCTCTTGAGCGATGTCAGAGCGGGGAATAAGTTCATAAGCAGACACATTGCTGGATTTGGTGAATTGTACAGGATTTACATATACCGATATTTTGTTTATATGTCGAGCCAAATCCCTGGGTGGGTGTTGAAGGTGAAAATGGCTGTGGTCAATCCAGAGACAGCATCAGTAACCACAAGCAGAGATAGCAGCCTAAAAATCAGACTAAATCAGATTACCAAACAAACAGCTAAGAGGATTAATTCTGATCTCTCTCTCTCTCTCTTTTTCCATCAGACGGACACATTAAATCTGCAATCTATAAAATCCCTTCAAATGATTTTTTATTTTACTTTGTGGCCCTCATTTTCTGGTCACATGTTTGGAGCGAAGCTCTTTTGGCTCCCAGTGAACTCTGCCCTTTTGTTCTGCCTTGAGGCCTCTAGAAATGACTTTAGTAAACAGGGTATCAAAACCAGTCTTTAAAAATATCTTCACAGGGTACAAGAGCAGTCTGACCTCTGATCAGGTGATATACTGGCAAGCCCATACTGTTATAATAATGCGTTTTACCCAGCATGCTCGCTGTTAGGAGTAAAGCTGTGTTGAGAGATGCCTGTGGCCCTGTGGCTGTCAGTTAAACAAGCACAGTAACGTTCGCCGGAACAGGCGCAATTAATAGAAACCATAATATATAGAAGGGAATAATTACACCTTGTCGCTGGCTTTCACAGATCAAATATGTTCCTGCATTTCTTCAAATTAATCTCAGGAATGATTGTTGGCTTACAGGGAATCAGTGGCAGCACAGTATGTGTTCTCAGGGAGAAAATACTGTAGATTAATTTGGTTAATATTTCATAAAGCTTAGGAAGGCAAAGGGCATTTGAGGCTTTTCAGATTATTTATTCTCAGCCAATACTACACGCTACGGTTGAGCTGCTGTGCCACTGTGCTGCAACTGCCTTGCACAATGCCAAAGAAAGGCACTTGCCTTTAAAAGTGTTTGCCTGTGATAGCATTGTTTGTGAAATGGGAGCCGTTCACATGTGCAGCTGCGTTTCCTGTTCGCCGTGATCTGATTCAAAGGCTCTCGTTCACGTACGGCTTTGTATCGCTCTCCTGAGTGCTGATAACTGCTAAAAGATTCGTATTAATATCCTCTCTGGTGCTCTTTCATATTAGCTGATTCATTCCCTGCCCGGCTACTTCAGCTAAACACAGGGATACAACATAGCAACGTCGCTCTTGACAGCTTGACAAACTGACATTCCCACTCTCAGTGACTCCCGCTTCTGCCCTCTTGGTCTCTGTGATACAACTGTATACTGTAACCAACAAGACTGTAATCAGTGCAGACCTAATCTAATCATCGCTCCCGACAAGCAGCACTGGCTGCCGGGCTTCCACGAAACACATCTCGCATCAACAGGCTGCTTGGACGGCGTCGTGTAGCTCGAGCAACCGCCGGATGAAATGTCAGGAGAAGCAGGATTATTCCCGAAAATGTCACTGACAGCATAATAGCTTAGCAGAAGAGTGTCTCATGCTATGTTTGTATCTCATGTCAGCAGGTGTGATGTGTAACTCGGTGTGTGTCATAAAAGCTACTGTACACAAACGTAAACAGAAAGCGGGATCTGTTGAGTGAAACTGGTGCGCGATCGGTGTGCGCGCAAACCGTGGAGTTAGACGTTAAAGTGTGTGTTTTTAGATCTGCACAAACAAATGCACATCTTTAAAACCTCCTCATTATTGGCAGCGGGAAAGCTGCCCGGGCACCGGGACAACTCCTGTGTGCATCTGCGTGCGTGTCTGTCTGCAGCTTGTGTGTTCGTGGTATGCGCCTAATTCGGCGGCTCATTCCAAGATTTGGTTAACCGAGTTGGCTCGCCCTATCGCATTGCCACAGAGTGTGCAGTTGCTTCAGCCTCTGTTTCATTTAGTGGCACCCACGCTCTTATCCTCTTGCCATGAAAGCCCGCAGACACACATGCTTTCGCACCGGAACAGAAATGCACACACGCGCACGCACAGCTGAATGAGAGAAAGACAGAGTAAGAGGGACAGAAAGAGAGAGTGAGAAAGAGGAGGAAAAAAATAAGAAAGTACCAATTAAGCTCCTCAGACAGTTCTGCCAACAGGCATCAGGAGGTTGGAGGCGGTGAGTGTTTGCGTGTTTGTGTGTGTGTGTTGGATAAGGGGGTAGAGGGTGTTTGACTAGAGCTGAGGTCTCTAACTTTTGCGTTGTCAGTTTTGTACTTGTGCAAGTTTTGAAACAACTCATTACTGCGAGGTGTCAATAACCTGCTGAGGAGGCTGGCAATTATCAAGAGCTTGTCACTTTTTATAGTTGTTTGTTGACAATTTCCTATTATATGCTGTATTGTTGCTCTGTGTACTCATTTATATATATATACATTTTCTTCACACCGCTGTAGATTTTGAAATATTTGCAAAACATAAATGAAAGTACAAGAATTCAGATTCTTGTACTGTAGTTGTGGGGAGAGGTTTACATGCAATCATCATGATTTTTATGATTTCTTCTTTTTCCAGTGTGGGGTGATTATAAAACAAAGAAACAAGAATCAGGTGGTATTGGTTTGAGCTCATTTTGTATTTTCT